AAAATTAATGCAAGAAGACTCAACAGGACTAAAGTCTTCTGAGGCTGTTATACTGTTTGGAAACAGTAAAAGTGCACATTTATAAGATGTTTCTCATAATTGAAGTCTGCATGTTGTAATCTCCATGGTATCCACACAGAGTCAAGTGAAAAATGTCTAACTGCAAGCTACCAGAAGAGAAAATGTGGAATAGCATGTGGAATAACAAAAAATACTTGATTAACCCAAAAGAAGACAAGAAAGAAGAGGCAGGGAGGTTGGGGGGTAGGGAGAAGGCAGATACAAAACAAACAATAAGAGAGCAGATTTAAACCCAAATATGAGCAATTACATAAAAAAATATAACCACACTGAAATCCCCTAATTAAATGGCAGACACTGTCAGACTAGATTTTTAAAAAACTTACATGTATGCTACTTACAAAATACTTTCTTTAAATAAAGCTACAGAAAATAAATAAATAAATAAATAAAAGTAAACGGATAGGGGGAAAAAAGATAATATACAATTTGGAATGTTGTGTTAGGCTTTTGTTTCATTTTGTTTTTTAAATACTAGCTATGGTCAACAATCAATGATTCTCTCTCCTTGTTGATGTTTCTATCTTTCTTTCCCCCTCCTTTCCTCTTTGAATCAATAATATATATGTATATATTTAAAAACATAAAAGTTTTTTTAAAGTTTTAAAAAAAATAAATAGGTTTGGCCAAGTCCCAGTAACTTCCCATGATTGTCCCACTGCTTTGCTGTTGCTTCTAAATGCTTATGTCCTGGAAAGGGAAGAGTCGATATAATTCTGAAAGGCTGGGTTCACTTTAGATGTTTAAAGAAGAGAGAACATAAAAATGCATCTCATACCCAAGATTAAGAGTGACATGGATGAATGGTTAAGTGTGGTGCAATATTATTCAGTGCTAAAAACAAATGAGCTATCAAGTCATAAAAAGACGTGGAGAAAACTTAGATGCATATTACGAAGCCAATCTGAAAAGGCTACAGACTGTATGACTCCAACTATAGGACATTCTGAAAAAGACAAAACTATGGAGACAGTAAAAAGATTAGTGGTCGATGGGGGTGCAGTAGGGGGAAAGACATAAATAGGCAGAGCACAGATGATTTGGGGAATAGGGAAAATATTCTGTATGATATTATTAATATAATGATGACTATGTGTCATTATACACTTGTCCAAACCCACAGAATGCACAATACCCAGGGAGAACCCTAAGGTAACTGTGGGTTTGGATGATTATAATGTGTCAATGTAGGTTCATTCTTGGTGAGAAAAAAGCAAGCCAGACTGGTAACATTAATAATGGAGGAGTCACCAAAACCGGTTTGGCTCAGTGGATAGAGCGTTGGCCTGCGGACTGAAAGGTCCCAGGTTTGATTCCGGTCAAGGGCATGTACATTGGTTGCGGGCACATTCCCTAGTAGGGGGTGTGCAGGAGGCAGCCGGTCTATGTTCCTCTCTCATCAATGTTTCTAGCTCTCTATCCCTCTCCCTTCCTCTCTGTAAAAAATCAATAAAATATATTTTTTAAAAATAATAATGGAGGAGTCTATGAATGTGTGGGAAATCTCTGTACCTCCTTCTCAATTTTCATTAAAATCTAAAACTACTTCAAAAGAAAAAAAAAAAAGATCTAAAAGAGAGAGAGAGAGAACTCAAAGAACAGTGCATCAAAAAGTGAATTTTACTATATAATTTTTGAGTATAAAAAATTTTTTTGAAAAAGTCAGGCTCTGAATGTGTTTAATTTAAAAATGGCTAACAGGCTACCATGGCTAACAATGAACCAGCTGTTCTGGACAGAGGTCACTGAAAAGCACACTGGGGCTGATCCTTTGAGTGGAACATAGGTACCTCATGAATAGGAACGAGCATTAACCATTGTTAAGCGCACATACACATGCAGTAGTTTTTACACATTAAGAGTCCATTAGCTCCTGGGGCAAAGTCTCAAATCCCCAGCAGCCCCACAATGCACAAAGAATACAAATCCATCCTCAGATGGGAAGAATCAGTCTCAATTATGCCTCCACGGTTCTGACTCCTTGTTTGACTCTGACAGATCTCAGAGGTAAACTCCGAGCCTACAGTTACATACTGTGCAGCTTGTAAGATCTGGCAGCCAGAAATCCATGCTCGTTCGCTATTAAATTAGAGTCCAGAATGCTGCAGGACAATGATGGGCATTATTAAAACATGGAACAAGAAGCATAATGTTGCCTTCTTGGCCTCCATCATAACACGCAGGCTATACTAGCACCAAAAAGAAAGCTGTAAGAGGCTTTGATGCCAATGTTTCATAGAAAATAACAAAAATTATATATGAGGGGGGGCTGTTTTGTATTATAGAGGAAATGGAGCAAGGAAAGAACTAGAAGGTGCCATAGTTTGGTACTTGGGACTATTCTGCTTATTCACTGATGCAGTGGTTTTTCTTGAGTCATCTTCCTGGATATGCATTTTCGTGAATGGAGACTTTAGGCCCACTGTTCCTAGCACCTATGACAGTGCTTAGAAATGAAGTAGGTGCTCAATAAAATGAAGTGATGCTCCATGGAAGCATCAGTGAAACATAAAAAAGTCACTAGTGATAGTCAATACCCTATCATCATCATTACTACCATCCCCAAAATAGTACCCCAAATTCTAAAGTGATTGTTGAGTGTACACAGAGAAATAAAATGGACTTGCAGAAACCAAAAATGAAGCAAGTTTTAGTAAGCTTTTGGCAAATCTGACCCAACGTCCCAAACCTCAGGCGGTCCTAATCAGGAAGAATTGACTGTTACCTAAATCACTGCTCTCCCTAAATTAAAATGAGGATGGTCCCGCTCTCTGTTTAGCACAGTAAAGCAAGCCCTACCTATCCTCTCTCTTGTGCCTTTTCAGCTGTCATTCTAACAAACATTTAAAATTGCAAAAGTAATCTTCGTCATTATAGCAAATGATGTAAAAAGAAGAAAATCACTTCTAAGTCTACCATCTAGGTTTAGTAACAACATTTTTATACATTTTCATTTTCCTTTTTTTTTTTTTAATACATCCCATGCTTATATTTGCTTTTTCTAATGAGAAATACAAAACACAGTTCAGTAATCTCCTTTTCCTTTAACAATATATTGTGGTCATCCTTCTACCTTATTCAGTATTGCACTTAGCCTGTCCTAACATGGCATCCATCCCATTTTACCTTCCTTGTAGGCATCATCAAGGAGGCAATGTGACTTATTCTGAAGTATCTAAATCCTCTGCTGCGTGCCCTGCCAGTGCTTTCCTTAAAGCCAACACTCCAAGGAAACATTATAATGTCCGCCTCTGGATTCCCGCCATTCCATGCGCCGCTGTTTTCTTTCATTGGACATTTAACACCTCCCTGTGCTTTCCCCAAATTCAGCTATTTAAAGCCCAGTTTTAGTTGTGAGCCATGCATATTGAGATCATTCCTCAGAAAGTCAGGAGATACTGCTGTGTGCCTTTGAATGTTTAACAAGACATCTATTAGGAATTAGGTTTTTTTCCGAAATTCCACATTATAAAGAAGTTAAAAATATGCCAGGAGTTTCAAAGACCACCTTCAGAGTCAATTAGCAGCTACAGAGTTCTAGCTAGTCACTTAGATAAAAGATCCACCTGATGACTATTGGTATGAAAAGATAAAAAGCATTTGGAGTTCTTAAATATGTAAAATGGAGCCCCTTGATATATAAAACTTTGCGCAGAAAAATAGTGCATTAGAGTTAATTCACTAGCTCTTTCAAGTAATAAGTCTGGACCACTAGAAAATACCACAGGCAGAATGGCCGTTTACATTTTAAGTAGGTTTTAGCAAATCTCAGTGGCAGCATTTTTTATTTTATTTTTTTTTACTTTTGTAATATGCTCCAAAACTTTAATCGAAGTCTGTGAGGAATATAAATCAATACCCACATTTGCACTTGATTCATGGCCTTTCAGGGAAGCACATTATGAATAGAAAAGGCTAAGTAAAATGATTTGCATCATGGGTATTACTACCATTTGTAGAACATCTTCAGTGCATCAGGCTTTTATGTACTTCATTCCTAGTCTTAATTAACCCTACAAAGTTGGCTTACAAATGAGATACCAGAAGCTCAGAAAGTTGAAGTCCTAACCCTTGGTCACCCGGCTACAACATATCATAGCCAGGATTCAAATGCAGAAACTATAAGTAAATCACACTCCTGGGTCCCCTCCATTCCCACTGATGTGGGGACTTGAACAAGCCCAAGGAGGAGGATGAATCAATCGTGTTACTGACTGTTGCCAGCACCACCGACATGCTCAGGGTGTAAGCTGAGCCACATCACAGAAGCGTCTTCTGGAGGGGAGAGGGTCTAGAAAAAAATTATTCCTTCTAGTTTTCAAGGAGTAGACCAGGCTTCAGTCTGACGTTAGAACCTACCCCAAAGACAATAAATCCTAACTGCACATTCAAATCACTGGGAGAGCTTTGAAAAAGACCGATTCCCAGTCCCCCGTAGAGATTCTGACTTGACTGGTCTACAGTGAGACTGAAGTACCAGAATTTTTTTAAAAGATGTCCAGATGAGTCTCGTGAACAACCACTGAGAACAAATCCCTAGCCAGGCCAGCATGGCTCAGTAGCTGAGCAGCGACCTATGAACCAGAAGATCATGGTTCAAGCACATGCCCAGGTCTGGGGCTCCATCCCCCGTGTGGGGCATGCAGGAGGCAGGCGATCAATGATTCTCTCTCATCATTGCTACTTCTCTCCCTCCCTTCCTCTCTGAAATCAATAAAAATATATTTTTAAAAAGGAGAGAGAGCAAAAATGCCCTAGAAGGTGTGTAGGGGTGTGTGTGTGTGTGTGTGTGTGTGTGTGTGTACATATACCTAAACAGCTAATGTCAGGTATTTTTTCTTATTACATATTCCTAGCAAAATGGGAAGCACTGGAACCAAAAGGTTAGTGGCGAAGACAGAAGACCCTGGATACGTTACCTGGGTCGTATCCTCCATGAGGCCACGGATCTTCTCCACCACGTCGTTGCGCCGGTACTGGCGCAGTGCGCTGATGAGCTGCGCGAGGCTGGCCTCGGAGCCGCGGATGGTCCAGTGCTGCAGGGCCGCGTAGGCCCGCTCGTGGTCCGCGGTGTACCCGTTGGAGAAAGCGGCCACCTCCCTCTCGCTGGCATTGCACAGGAACTGATAGATGTCCTTCCACTGGCTTCCCACTTGGGCTGCCACCAGCTTCAGGATGTCGATACCTATTCCAGAGATAAAATAAAAAAATAACGATTATAATAAAAGCATGTGAGGGACGGGTTTTATATAAGGCTGCTCTGTTTTAATGAACTAAAAGAAGCATGCTTGTCCAGCCGGTGTGACTGACAAGCTGAGGGTGGACCTAAGAACCAGCAGGTGACAGTTTGATTCCGGGTCTGAGCGCATGCCCGGGTTGCTGGCTCCATTCCAGTTAGGGCCATTCAGGGACCAGCTAGTCAATGTGAATGTTTCTCTCTCTTCATTTATGTTTCTGTCTCTCTCTCTCCCTTCTTCTCAGAAATCAATAAAAATATATAGGCTTTTTAAAAATAATAATAAAAGTAGCATGCTTATTGCTATATGCCAAAGGAATGCATTGGCAATTATAAGCACTTGACATCTGCAGCCCCTCCTGGGGGCTAGGTAGGTATCCTCCTGCAAATTTCAATTCCTAAATGTGGAACCAGAAGAAGGAGCAATCCTGAAAGTACAATAAATTGCCCCTAGAAGATGTTTTGAAAGCCAAACCCAAACAAAGTCATCAGAGTGGTTCCTTTGTTACTGCTAAAAACAGCCAGAACCAGCCCTAGCTGGTTTGAGCATTGACCTGTCGATTTCAGTCAGGGGCACATGCCTGGGTTGTGGGCTCAATTCCCAGTGGGGGACTTGCAGGAGGAATCGATTCATGATTCTCTCTCATCATGGATGTTTCTTTCTCTCCCTCTTCCTTCCTCTCTGAAATCAATAAAAAAAAAAAAAAAAAAAAAAAAAAAAACCTATTTTTAAAAATAAATAACCAGAACCAAATAGATTAGCGGCTCCTAGATTAAAAAAGTGGCGACTTCAGGAAATCTAGAAAAAGGTAAACCATAGATGAAAACTGCAGCGGAGTTCCTCCAGCACTGTGGGGTAAAGGGTGTTCAGATTCTGGCAAGGACGTCCATTATGTCAGCTGACCATGCACCCAGCTGTTCCAGCCCACGGAGTGCGTTCCTTAAGAACTTCTGACTTCTTGTGCTCTAATTGATGCTCAAGAAGCAATGTTCTGATCTATTATTCAGTCTCCTAAATTGACTTGCAGCTATAATGAAGACAACAGCCAAAATGACTATAATAACAATAGCAATTATCTTCCAGGCAGTATAGTAAGACATTAGCTCACTGAACATCTTTATAAAGTATTTACATTCCAATTCTACAGGTAAGAAAAAACAACAATAAAAAAACACTTAGAAATATTATGCAATGTGCCCAATATTACAATATTAGGTTGGGTACTGAGCCCGATTTACTGGATAATGCTATAAATCATTCTGATTTATTGGTCACTTAGAAACTCAGTCAGTGTGGGTCTGCAGAGCCCACATTTGATAAAATAAAGGATGAAATGCCAAAATCAAGCCCAGAATCTACAAACTCAGGCCAGATCGCTGGCACCGATCCTCTGTGAGATGCTGCTTTCCCTGAGTAGCATGCTCTGGTGTCTTCCTCTTTATGGAACCTTCTCTCTGCAATTGCATAACAGCTTTGCCCAAACGTATACACAGGGTGTGTATGCAACCTCACAGTGAGGGCTCTGGTAGTTTACCCAACAGGTGGGTGAGTTCTCTGAGTCAATACTATGTAGTCCAATGAGGCTATATTCACACACCCTGATACCAGAGTTATTTTGGTTAGCAATGCCTTAAAAACAGGTACTACTCAACTTTAGGACAGCATGGATGGACCTGAAAATATTATGCTAAGTGAAATAAGCCAATCTGAGAAAAACAAATATCACACGATCTCACTTATTTGTGGAATCTAATGAACAAAATGAGTTGACTAACAAAATAAGACCCAAAGCTTGGAGGCATGGAACAGACGGACACACCTGTGTGTGTGTGTGTGTGTGGGGGGGGGGGGGGGGGGTAAACCAAAGAGCTTATTTACTTACAGTCATGGACATGAGCAATAGGGTAGTGAAGACCTGGGGGGGAAAGGGGCGGGGCAGATAGGGCCTAAGAGGAAGAGGGAAAGCGGGGAGGGAAATGGGAGATATCTGTATTACTATCAACAATAAAAAAATACGTTTAAAAAAACATTTGCTACTCAATAAGCAAAATGGGATCCCGTTCCCAAGTGAAGCCTAGTGAAGAAAGACAAAGAGGAGAATCCAGGCGCTTCCTGTTAGGTTAATTGGCTTTTTCAATTAATTGGAGGCTAACCAAGAAAAAAAAAAATGTTTTGCTTCCATCAGTTGTTGGGAGGAAATGTTTATAAACTGAGCTATCAATTTTTGCTTAAGAAATAAGCAATACTAATTCCAGAAGTGTCTTTGAAAATGGAGGACTTTGTGATTCCCCAATATCAATCCTTCCTCTGCCATGCAATCTTACTGAGGCACACGGTTTAGAGGCTGCATACACACCCTCAATCAAAAACTCCTGAAAGTAATTTTCAGGGGGGGGAAAAAAAAGTTCTTAGCAGAGGCCGCTTTCTTGTCAACTGTAAAAGTAGAATGCCACAAATTGAGACATTACTGTACTTCTCACCCTGTTTTCTTTGGCAGTGTAAAATATACTTGAAGTTTTCACAGTATTGCTTAGCCAGATACAGAGCTTTCGATTTCAAGCAAACAGAATCCTCAAAAAACCCCACAGGTACCTGTGAGGAGTCAGGCAGCTCTCTGCGGTTCCTGTGGCAGATTGTGCCAAACACCAAAAGGCTTATTAGTCCCTGAATCTAATTTAGGTCAGTTTGACTAAGGTCCACAGGGTCTGACATGAAAACATGACTGTTTTCTTGTATATGGGTCCATTGCTTAAACCTCCATAATGCCGATGGCAGTGTGGCTTTGGGCAAACCACTAACTGTCATGTCCACTTCCTCATTTGTACAACGGAGATAGTCACTGCGGTCCCTGGGGATGAGCTGATTAGCATTTTCTATAGAGTTCATTTATTTTTGGAATACACCATCGTTATAAATGCTCCATCTACTACTAGGCACTATAACTTAAGACTAAATGCATTTCTGATGCAAATACATGACCTTTATAGAGTAATTACAGAGTTGAAAAAGTTTAAGTTTAATAACAGTTCCCTCTTCCAAAACCCAGTATTTGTACTTTTTTTTTTTCAGCCACAAAATAAAAGAAAAAAGAAAACTACAAAGGATAGATACAATGGGATTTTCCTTCAACTAATTTGCCTGGAAGCTAAATGTAAGGCCTACAAATTAGGTTTCATCTTATTCTTTTACTATGAAAACATGGAGTCAACAGTAAGAATTTATCACCATGAAACTGTAGTGACACCAATGAAACACAAAATGGGATGGGCTTTGAATGTGTTTCTTTAGAAAAAAAAAAAAAAAGATTTAGGCAAAACCAAATACAACTATAGAGAAAAGCAGTAGGATGATAAAACCAAATTGAGACAGTTACCCCTGGAGGGAGGGAGGGGACTGTTACAGGTAGGTGCGTATAAGAAACTTAAAAGCTATTCACAAGGTTCTATTTCCCAAGCTGGGTGGGGAGAAAATGGGTCTCTTTATTGTTAGTATAGTTTATGTTTATTTATTATTCTCTTTAAAACTGTATATATAACACACCTAGATGACGTGTATTTATATATACTTGATACATACACATTCTATTATGTGGGATATATATATATTTTAAGTGTTTCATTTTATTGATGAAGAACCTCATGTGGAAAGTGTTTAGTTCAAGGTCACTCAGCTAGTTAGTGGTACCTCTATTGTGGTGAATAAGGAATGCAGTGTTGTAGAGAGCATTGTTATTCACTGGGATTATGTTCTAGGGCATGGCCATCTAATCAACCTATGGATGCACTCAGGGCTGGCCATGGTACACGTGCTTCTTCCTGGCCTGTTATTACTGATCAAGCAGATGCTGGGAACATTTTCACTGGGGCAAGTGTCTTTCTTGTCAACAAAGCTATGGTAACCTAAAAGAAGAAGTCAGTAAACTTTTTCTGTAAAGGGCAACCGTAAATATTTTAGACTTTGAGAACTGTATGATCTCTGTCCCAATTCAACTCAGTTGCTAACGTGAAAACAGCCCTAGACAATACAAATGAGTGTGGCTGTGTTCTAATTAAAACTTTATTTACAAAAACTTGTAATGGGATGGATATGGCAGGTGCTATAACTCACCAACCCCTGAAACTCTAGCAAAGTTAAAGAGACCTAGATACTAACAAATGGCATAACGACTTAGAAAATATTTTGTTAGGAGAAATCATGCGCGCGCACACACACACACACACACACACACACACACACACACACACACTGAAAGTTTCCACCCCAATTACTAACCTTAATGTGAAATGATAATAAATGAAACAGACCAACTTTCTGCTTGATCATCTGTCCTGTTAAGAGTCCTAAGAGTTTTCATCTAGACAGGAGACAGTCACTGTGATGAATTGATCTGATTTGTTTAGCTAAATGTGATGCCAAAGTCTCTTTTTTTTTAGGTTGAAAAGCAGTAAAATCTTACATCCACCGAAGTGTTATGAGACAGAGGAATGGAGGAGCGTAACTTTGCTTTTCCTATGATGTGGGGTCCTGGAACACTGGGAATTGCTGAAGTTCCTAAACAAGCTCTGGAAGGAGTCAAGGCCTATATGTCAGTCTGTACTTTGCCAGGAGGGATAGGCTTGCTCAGGTGGCCCCAGCCACAGTAACTGCTTTGTGAATTGTAAGACGCAAATAGAGAAAAGATCATGAACTTTGCCATCACAAGATATGGTTTCAAACTCCACGACCTTGGGCAAATGACAACCTCTAAGATTTCAGTGTCCAAAAGGAAAATAACACCTCTTATCTCACAGGGTGGGTGAGGATATTTATGGAACCCAGTATAAAAACCATCATGCACAGCACCTCGCTGCACGCTGGTTCTCCTTTCCCCGTGCCCTCCATTTCAGCATGGGCAAGTCTCACTGGGCAATGTTCCTAAAAGGAAGGAGGACTTCTACCCAGACAAAGG